TGAACAACATTTGCATATTCAGAGATTCTGTAATGTTTAATTAAGTCTTTTAAAGGACTTTAATGTGGAAATTATACTTTATTTTTGCAGAGAAAACACATTAGACATCATTGTTCCAAGCAGACTATGAATGTATATATGTCTTTATACATGTCTGGAAGGGGAAGCAACAACATGGATTATTACAAAGAAAACTGCTCTGACCTGACGCTAGTTTAAATCTGATTAAAAAAAACCATTCAAATGCAGAATAACAGTACAATGATACTTTTCCCTGTCAGAAAAAAATGTGCTTTTCACTTAGGGTTGAGCCAGAGAGCTCGTCAGGATTGAGTGTTTGGCTCAGGGACACTTCAACAGGTCTAACATCTGCTGAACGTGAGTCCTGTGGCTGCAGTCCATACAGTCTGTAGCTCAGTACACCAACACGTGCAAATGAAGTTCTGATCCTAGATCTCCTAATCTCAGAGACTTCCTTTGCATAGCCATGAATAATGTGTGGGTTGTAAAGGAGGTGGAGGACTAAATTACATTACTCTCACTCTCATCACTCACTTTGTCTTCACAGCAGAGCAGCGTCATGTTGGAAAGAGCACCAACACCCATTCACAGGGAGAGAAATGAGGTATGAACTACTTCTGCTTTGACCTTTCTGTGTGTGTTTTGATCCATTAGAGACGTACAGTAAGTGTGCAGCTGATGATACGGCCCCCCAACGCTTTGTATCCTTGTATATATATATGTGTGTGTGTGTTTAAGTACAGGCTCATGCACATTGCACTGAGAAGATGCCAGAGTGATCTGTTTGGCCTCTTTGTTTATGGAGCCGGGCCTTTCCTGCCCTCTGATGTGCGTGCTCGGGCCATGAATGGAGCTTTGTGTGCGGACGACACACACAACCCATCCTCATGATTTGAATGCTGAGTCCATCTGATCAGTGTGTCCCAGAGAGAGAGAGGGAGAGTGAGGGAGAGAAAGAGCATTGTGATCAGTTGCTGGTAAACAGATTCTCTTGTAAGTCGATGTGGTTAAAGGGGATGGTGGTGGAAGTGAATGCAGCCTCCTCTCCCGTCTGCTCAACGCACTTCTCCTGAGGTTAGAGACCTTTCTTTACAGTCTGCATGAGCCCATCATCAGCAGAGGAGCAGAGACATAAAACTTCAGTTCAGCTCCCAGATTTCTGTCCATCTCAGGGGGCGTGGCCGGCCGCGCAACGTCACTGATGGTTATATAGGCTGCAGCTGTGGCGGCGGGCTCGCGCTGCTGAGACAGGCAGAGCACTGAGGACCGGTGGCGCGCGCTCACAGACTCCCACTCAGCCACACACACACTCCCCAAACAAAGAGAAGCACGCGAGGCAGCACAGAGCATCCCACCCTTTCAGCCGCGAGCTCACTTGCAGAACCGCCCCCCCCCATCCCTCTCACACACAGAACCGGTCCGGTCCGAGGCTCGAGCTCACAGAACCGACAATGACAACTAACGGCGCGTCTAACGGAACCAGCGACATGCTGCAGATCCAGTTCGGTCTGATCAACTGCGGGAACAAATACCTAACGGCGGAGACCTTCGGCTTCAAGATCAACGCCTCCGCCACGAGCATGAAGAAGAAGCAGATCTGGACTCTGGAGCAGAGCGGGGACGACTCCACCGGCAATGTGTTCTGCCTCAAGTCACATCTGGGCCGGTACATCGCCGCCGACAAGGACGGTAACGTTACCGGAGACAGTGAGACCCAGGGCCCGGAGTGCCGGTTCATCATCACCGCCCATGATGACGGCCGCTGGTCCCTGCAGTCGGAGCCGCACGGCCGCTACCTGGGCGGCACCGAGGACCGGATCATCTGCTTCGCCCAGACCGCCTCGGTGGCGGAGAAATGGAGCGTGCACATCGCCATGCACCCGCAGGTGAACATCTTCAGCATGACGCGCAAGCGGTACGCGCACCTGAGCGCCAAAGTGGACGAGATTGCCATCGACCGGGACGTCCCGTGGGGGGTGGACTCCATGATCACGCTGGTGTTCCGCGAGCAGCGCTACCACCTGCAGACCTCCGACAACCGGTTCCTGAGGAACGACGGCGCGCTGGTCGCCACCA